TGTAAAGATAAATAAGGATCTGAGGTATATACACATAGTCCTCATGAATACACATATCCATATGAATACTATTATCCATATAATTATATGTTTGTATTTTTAAGATCATTAAATTTAAAATGCAGATTAAAGCAATGTCCAGATACAGCAGAACATCTTTTTTTTTGTTCTATTGAGATGAGAGTCTCACTATGTAGTTCAGGCTGGCCTCAAACTTGTGTCAGTCCTCCTGCCTCAGCTTCCTGAGTACTGAGATAATCTGCATATACCGTACCTAAGAACATCTTTACGTTAGAGTAACTGGATAAATTCTACCACAGCCAGATGATCAAGGTTAACATCTGCAGTCATAAATTAGGTCAACAGTGTAAGCCATGGCCCTGGTGAGATTCTGTCCTGCAGATCTGTTCTCTGGGGCAGTAGCTGTTTATTTCAGTCTGCATTCTATCCCACCTAAGTGCATGCTACCACTCCATGGAAGATTCGATGGCTATGGACGTGAGCCCCCTGAGGCTTCAGAACTCTCTTTTCAGTTGTGAACTAAAGGCTGACAAAGATTATCACTTTAAGGTGGTCAGTGATGAAAATGAGCACCAGTTGTCATTAAGAACGGCCAGTTTAAGGCCAGTGCAAAGGATGAATTGCACACTCTCTAAGCAGAAGCAATGAATTCCAAAGCCAGTCCAATTAACATAACACTGGGCAACTCTGAAAATGCCTGTACAGCCACGGGTTCCCTTGGGGGCTTTGGAATGACACCACCTGTTGTCTTAAGGTTGAAGTGTGGTTCAGGGCTTGTGCATATTCCTGGACAGCACTCAGTAACTGTGGAGTGAGATGCAGAATCAGATGAGGAGGAGGAAGAGGAAGAAAACTCAAGTATATCTGGAAAGAGATCTTCCTCTGGAAGTGGCAGCAAGGTCCACAGAAAAATGTAAAATCAGCTGCTGACGAAGATGATGATGAGGATGACAAGATGATGATGAAGATGATGATGATGGTGATTTTGATGATGAGGAAATTGAAGAGAAAGCTCCAGTGGAGAAGTTGATGTGAGATACTCCAGCCAGAAATGCACAGAAGTCAGGCCAGAATGGAAAAAACTCAAAACCATCAACACCAAGATCAGAAGGTCAAGAATCCTTCAAAAAACAGGAAAAGACTCCTAAAACATCCAAAGGACCTAGTTCTGTAGAAGATATTAAAGCAAAAAATGCAAGCAAGTATAGAAAAGGGTGGTTCTCTTCCCAGAGTGGAAGCCAAGTTCATCAATTATGTGAAGAACTGCTTCCGAATGACTGACCAGGAGGCCGTTCTAGATCTCTGGCAGTGGAGGCAGACTCTTTAAGAAAACAATTTAAACAGTTTGTTAAAATTTTCCATCTTATTTCATTTCTGTAACAGTTGGTATCTGGCTATCCTTTTTATAATGCAAAGTGAGAACTTTCCCTACCATGTTTGATAAATGTTGTCCAGGTTCCATTGCCAAGACTGTGTTGTCCAAAATGCCTGTTTAGTTTTTAAAGATGGAACTCCACTCTCTGCTTGGTTTGAAGTATGTATGAATGTTATAATAGGACATAATAGTAGTGGTGGTCAGACATGGAGATAGTGGGGAGACAAAAATATACCCGTGAAATAAACTCAGTATTTTAATAAAGTAAAGCAGTGTAAGCCATGGTTTTGTGTTGGGTGTTTGCCACGAATTCATATGTGGGAAGATTGGTTCCCAGTGTAGCAATGTTAAGAGGTAGGGCTGAGTGGGATGAAATTAGGTCATTGAAAGTGCTACCCTTGGAAGAAACTGGTATAATTCTTGCAGGTACCCTTCCTCAATTACTTACTTTCAGAGTGAGTTGTATAAAAATCAAGCTTGACCCCTGACATGCTCTGACTTCCTGTCTCACCATGTGCTCTCTCCCTCTCCTGTGCTCTCCTTCCATGTTGCCATCTACCATGAGGTGATTGATGTAGCTGGATAGGCCATTTCCAGAACTGGCACCATGCTCTTTGGAATTTCAGTTTCCAAAATTGTGTGCTAAGTAAACTTCTTTTCTTTAAAAAGTACCTGCCTTCAGGTACAGCTTGTTATAGCAGTAGAAAATAGACCTTGATATAAATAAAGTGATACTTCATCTCTATTATGTACCTTTCCAAAACTAATAACCTCAGTGCAATTTCAGAAAAAATATCAAATTCTAAGAAAGAGGATCCTACCAAAAAAGAAAAAGAAAAAATATGATCAAGCTTATCAAAAATAAGGACATTCTGGGAAATTGGTGCAATCAAGAGTAACCCAAGTGGATAGGACAGTAAAGTGTACTGTTGTATCTTAGATGGGATACTGTAGTAGTTTTTATAAGGAAATCTGGATAGACTATTGACTAAAAATAATGTATCACTTTTGGTTAATTCTTTAGATTCAATGTACCGTACTAATTTAAGATGCTTATGATAAGGTAAACTAGGTATATAGGTGTGACAGATGTAGGAGAACTCTAGGATCTGCTAAATTTTTCTGTGTATATAAAATTGTTCTATCAACATGTGTTAATTAAGAAAGCAGGTTAAAGGGCAGGATTTTATCCCTCTCCTTTTGTCTGGGAGGTATATCTCAATCTCAGCTCTTAAGAACTCTGAGGAATAATATAATGAAGAAAATATCATTTAGTTTTCTGTATCCAAACTGGAAATTTTTTTGTGAATTTATATTCACTTTTTGTAGATTTGTAGAAGAAACAAGTCTTTTTATTTTGAAGCACATTTAGTGACATGCTCACTGTAAAAAATTTCAGGATATTCAAATAAGTATGGAGTAAATAATTCACACAGAATCTCTGCATTTAGGAATAACACTGAAAGAGTTCAGGATATTTTTTTTTTTTTTTTTTGGTACCTTGAACTCATAGTGTAGCCCAGACTGGCTTGAATTTGTAGTAGTCCTCCTGCCTCAGCCTCTAAAGTGATGGGATCACAGGTCTGCACCACCACAACTGGCTTTCAGAAATATTTTTCATGCATCTGTCGTGCAGTATACATTTATATAGTATATTATACTCTGCTTTTCTTACTGAACTTATCATGAACACATTTCCATCTCAAACCTTAGCATATATAGAATGCTAAGTCAAAGGCTTTGTAAATTTTTATAAGCTTTGATATGTATTTCAAAATTTCTCTAGAAAATCTGTATCAGGGGTTGGGATTTAGCTCAGTGGTGCTGCAATCTGCCTCACAAGTGCAAGGTCCCAAGTTAATCCCAGGTACAAAAAAAAAAAAAAAAAAAAAAAAAAAAGAGCTGTAATAGATTTTATTTTCATATCATGTATGTTTTCAGAGTACAGAAGTCATAAACTGGACCCAGCCAACATTTGAACATTTGTGGATTTCCCTTACAAATTCTTGTTTCTTACATCTTTTGAAAAATTAGAAAATCTTGCATCATGAGGCTGAATTTCTCTATAAAAAGACTGGCCTGGAGTTGATTAGCAGTAGCCATAATAAACTTGTTATTCCTTAACAAAAAGATTCAGTGTTGACAGGTGATATTGCTTATAGTTAAGGAATACATATGGGTAAATTATGAAATAATACATCTCTAGCCAAAAAAGGTAATAAAAATTAAAAAGTTAAGAGGAAGTGAAAACTTTATTTAAAGAAAATCAAAACATTTTGTTTTTTTTTTGCAGAAATGGAAATTATGTTTAAATATGTACCAATGCCCCTATTAAATTAATTTAAAAGCTATTCTTTTAAAACAAACTAAATGCAACTTATATTTATTTACTTTGTCTTCTTGATTCCTATGTGAATTTGAGTCATCACTGTTTTCATTGTACTTTAATCTTAATGTTAGTGTTTATTGAGGAATTCTGAAAGAATGCTGCATAGATACCTTTTATTGTTAGAAATAATAATATAAACAAGTAGCATTTGAATTTCAGTGATAATATCTGTTGTTAGAAGATTTTTAATTTCATCGTGAATTTTGAATTATTACAATAGATTTTTGGCTGAATATTTTTATATGCCTAACTATAGTATTATAGCCCATTGATGACTTAGCAAATTCATTTTTTACAGAATACTAGATTGCATAGCAGATATCCTAGTAAACTAAAATTGTTTCATATTTTTTATCCTATATTTTTGTTTGATCTTGAATAAATTATTCAAATTTTTATATTAAATGATAGGTTGTTGATATATATATTTTATAATTTTATTAATGGAAGTCTGGACAAGAGTAGGATTAACTTAACAGCTGAGCAAAGGAAATGTTTGTGAACATAAATTTGATTATAAAATAGGAAAAATAATAGAGTAAAAAGTAGTGGTCAGAGAGGAAAAGAAAGAATAGGACAAAATCATTTAGATTTATGGGAAGTAAAATGCTTACAGTACTGTAATGTTCAAAATAAAGTAGAGGATTAAGCAGCATAAACTGATAATACAATAAAACAGTACTTTGAAGAAAATGCTTAGTTGTATGATAGAATAATGACTGGGAAATAAATCGGATGATTTATATATGAGGAAAGTGTAATAGTACAAATCGAAGCATACACAAAAATTATAGACAAGAAATAGAAAAAAATCTGCTGTCTTACCAAAAAGCAAAGAGTATGGATACAGGTGGTATTTGCCCTTGTTGGTGTGTAACCGTCATATAAACAAACATATGTAGTCCTTGGAATTTGAACCCAGGGCCTTGTTATGCCGTGCATGTGCCCTACCACCGAGCCATGCTCCCAGCCCCTGTAATTTGTAGCTTATTGCTAAAATGAAAGTTTTCCCCTGATATACAGTCTATATAAAGATTTGCATAGATAAATACAGATATTTGCTGAGAGATATGCTCTTAGCCTCTGTAATTTATAGTTTATTGTTAAAATAAATTTTCCCTGATTACTGATGATTTATATAATCTATATAAATATTTGCATATATTTTAAACTAGTATGACATACAAACATATACAGTTATACTTTTAAAAACAGGTATCTCAACACCCATCATTATCAAGCTTGGAAACATTAATGGTCTCACAGAAGTCTGAAATTGAGTATTTACAGGAGAAACTGAAAAAAGCAAATGAAAAGCTGTCTGAGAACAGATCTGCCAACAAGAGCTCCTCAGAGAAGAGCATCATGACAAGTGCTGAAGGGAAATATAAGGTAGGGACATTTTATCATGTTTTAAATTTGTCAGGATAAGGCTGGCAAAGCAAGAGATGAAGTTGAAAAAAAAAACAGTGACATTTACTCTGCTTACATTTCTGGGAATTAAAAAATCTGTTCCAAATTTTTGGTAAAATAACTCCTAAGAGTGGAAATTTTCCCCTTTTTAAAGACCAAATAATGTTTTCTGAAATTAATTAATTGAGTGTATTTGTTACTAGTATACCTGTTTTGCCAGTAAACTAATTTTTTATAAAATATTTTAATGAGTAACTCATCTATTTGATATAGTTATTGCTCTTAAACATTCACTTAAAAATGTTATTGGTCATTTACTTAATTTTCTAATAAAAATAGTGTTCTAGTTCATTCCAATATAAAATTTAAATTGTCCTATGGAATATAAAATATTAAATGGATTTCAATATTAATTCATACACATATTGTACAGATTAAAAGGGGTATGATAGCAAAGAATCATCTGTGGTATGCTGCAGAAGATTCTGAAGAATATTATGTAAAAATTCCGTGGTATCATTTTAAATATAATATTGTTATGTAAGTTCAAATAACATTTCTGTAATGATTTGTAGATGTATTTTTCTTACACTGTTTATATCAGAAATAGAGAATGTATTTTATATGTGAAAAACTGTTTTCAAGATAATTGTTTTTCATTTTTTCCATTTTTTCCTTTGAGCAAACTGAAATATCAATAAAGGAACAATTGAAAATTAGATTCATGTTTCCTTGGTACTTTTATACCCTAATGTTATTATTTCCTATACTATTATTAGTAATTTTCAGAGGATTGTGTTTTTTTATTAAAACATATTAACTATTTCTTGCCACTTTGTAGTTTCACAAGCTTTATTTAAATAAAAGAAAACATTTCAAAATTGAAATATAACATTACAGGATATAATTTGGTTGCTGAAGGAAATATAAGGTTGCTGTGTTCAGAATTTTAAAAATGTACTACTTTGATGTTTTACTGCTTTTAATAAAAGTCAAGAAAAAGGGAGGCATATTTTGAACAAATACTTCTTTTCTGTAAGGACATGCAGTAAGGATGTACATTGTGTTGCCCAGCTTAATAGTTGCTTTCACATTTTCCTTCTCCAGATTGGTGTATGAAGCTGTACATAATATAAACACACATTCTGGTCTCTAGTTAACCACATTATAGTTAATGACCATATGGTCATTATGGTATAAGATCTACTGTCTGTTGTATTTATATTCCTCAAGCATATTGTTCCTTCAACTTCACAGTGTGTTAAACTATTTCAAAGGGGAAAAAATCCTTTCCCTCTTGTTTCTGGTTGTCCTATCAAGTGTAACCTTGGACCCTCATAGAGCAATTAGACCAGCCTCTATCCCCTCCTTTGTAATGAGGTTTCTTGCATTTTTGAGTCTATAACCCTTTAGTCTTCCCTAATGGGACATCATTATTCTGAAAGAAACAATGTAAATGTAAATGAATATTCTCATTAAGGAGTCACAGAGAAACCTTTAGTGGTAGAGCTGTGGTAATTCTGCTTGTTATTTCTCTGGTATTCCATGCAGGATTTTTTTTATAATTCATTATTAGTATTCAAAATTACTTATTCTTTAATTTTGCATGTCTTTCATAATCTAGTGTTTCAGCTAGTTCAACTGTGTCCTTGTTTTATTCTCAAGGAACCACCTGTGAAACGTTCAAGGTCTTTGTCCCCAAAGAGCTCTTTCAGAGACTCGGAGGAGCTAAGGAAGCTGAGGAAAGCTGAGAGGAAGATTGAAAGCTTAGAGAAGGTGCTACAGATAAAGGTGACTGTCAGAGCATTCCTGCAGCAGTAAGCACACAAAGATAACACATTTGTCATTTTTCTTTCCTGACTTTAATTACCTAGATGGAAACATAATCAATTGATCTTGTTTTTAAGATTACATGGGATTGTAATAGAGTAAAACATATCTACTACCTGAAAACTAAATATTCATTACTTTAAGAGTATTTGGGAATACTTTGGTTTAAGATTGGGAATAAATTTTTTTATACATTCTCAGAAACAAAATAAGAACTACAGCAAATAAAGTATTTTTTGTTCTTTATACTGTATATGATAAATAGGTGAAAATAAAAGTGAGTTAAAACCCCTAATAGCTTAGGTCACCTATATATAAAAGGATAAAATTATCCTTTATATAAAAATTACATAAAGCAAATAAATATATCTAATTTTTAACATATCTGAATTTGTATCAGAACATTTGAAATTTGGGTGACATTCTACCCTGATTTTAGAAGTATATATCTTAGCTGCTTGAATTTGAGAGAATTTAGGCTAATTTTTACTTTGAATTCTCCTTATCAGGGAAAGGTGTTCTTGCATATTGAGCCAACTTTATGTGGCTATATTGATTTTCTTTTTAACCTAATTTTTTGTTTGTGGTGCAGGGTATGGAACCCAGGGCCTTGTACTTGCTAGGCAAGTGCGCTGCCTCTGAGCTATGTTCTGAACTTCTTATGGCCTCTTTCACCTCTGACTGTAAAATGGAAATTTTTTCATTCTTCATTCACAGTTACCCAAAGTCCTGCTTTATTTGAGTTTCAGTCATACAATTGATTGACAATGGTTTGGCAATGCTTTATATAGTACTAGAGTATAAAGGGCTAAGAGTTGAATCCAGGACTTTGCACATGCTGAGCAAGGCCTCAACCACTGAGCCATATTCCTAGCCCTAAGACTTAGATTCTTTGTCATGTAGTATAGGTAATTCTTAGAGAGACAAAATATTGACTTACATATTAGAACAAGATATGGTTTCGTGATACAGTTAGCCATATGTGTTTCTTTAAATCCAGTATCTCTTCTATCTCTGTATATTAAGGTGAGATTTAGTGTAGGGAATTCACTCACAAAATTATTCAGACAGAGTCAAAGGTCTAGAACTAGGAAGCTAGATACCCAGAAGAGCTGATGTTACAGTTCCAGCCTGAGTGCAAAGGCTGCAGAACCATGAGAGCTGATGTTGTTATATCCAAATCCAAGTTCAAGCTTGAGTTTCAGTTCAAAGGCAAGAGAAGACCTATATCCCAGCTTGAAGGCAGAGAGAAAGAAATCTCGTTTGACTCAGCTTTTATTCTATACCGGCTTTCAGTAGACTGGTTGAAGTTCATCTGCATTGGGGAGGGCAGTCTGCTTTAGTCTGTTTTTTTTGTAATAACACAGTCCCAGTGAATGGGTAAGTTATAAAGAAAAGATTTTTACTTTTGGTCATGGTTCTGAAAGTACAGGATGGAGACGGGGCTGCCACATCGGGTAACAGCCTTCTTTCTGACAGAGCCCTGAAGCAGTGCAAGACAAAAGACAGAGTGAACGTACATCAACTCCTCTGTCTGTGTCTCTCGTTTTATAAAGCCACCAGGATTTAATCATGAAACTCTGCCCTTAATAATCTTGTCTGATTTTAATCTTCTCAAAGGCCCCAGTCTCTAAACACCTTAGTCAGATCAAATTTCCACCCTCTCAGTACTTCACAAGGGGGATTAAATTTCTGTGCACGAACCTTGCCCCCAACCTTGCCCATAGTGAACCCATATCCAAACCATAGCCCTCTGTCCACTGATTAAAATAGTCATTTCATCCATAAAAACACATGATGTTTAAGCAAATCTGGGCAGTCAAATTGACACATAAGACTATCACATATACAACTTAATAATAGAAGCTTTTTACCATTTCACTTCCAGAGATCTGCAAATCCTTAGCAGTACATTACTTTTGTCAGGAAAGAGAAGAACAGTTCAAAGACATTTTAGATCTAATTTCTTAAATTTCTTTTTGAAAATAGGCTCAAGCCGGGTGTGGTGGTGCACACCTGTAATCCCAGCACTCTGGAGGCTGAGTCAGGAGGATTGCTGTGAGTTCGAGACCAGCCTGGGCTACATAGTGAGTTCCAGGTCAGTCTCAACTACGTAGTGAGACCCTGTCTCAAAACACAAACAAAAAAAAGAGTCAAAAAAGTCAAAAGGATTATACCAATTTATTTGCTGATTCATTTTTTCCTGGCAACAGCTTTCTGAGTGAATCTCCAATTTTACTTTCAGAATAAAATTATTTTTCACTAATTAAAATTATTTTCTATCTTCAAGTTTTAAGTCAATTGGTGATCATGATAAATTTCAAATTTATGTTAACTTCTCTAGATGTACAAGATGAAAATGGGAGCAGAATTTGTCTTTGTATTTCATCATTTAGTACATTCCTTATTTTAAGGAAGAAACATGCACTACAGTCAAGGACATTTAGGAAAAGAAGTAGGAAGACAAAATCTGTATATTAAAGCAATTCCAAGGAGAGTGATTGAGCCCGTAGTACTTTAAAATTTGCAGTTTTTAATTTTAGTAAGGATAACATATTTAGTGGTGGTAGAAGACCTTGTTCTACAATCCCCTTTATTTTGCTATAATATTAATATAGTACTATATTAATATAATACTAATTACTAATAATTATGAAGTACGATATCAATTCATTAGTATAGTACTATATTAATATTGTTGGTATTCCTCAAGTGCATGTAAGTATAAAGTAGATAATAGTATTCTGAAACTGAGGCTGTGGCCCAGGGGTAGAACCCACGTTTAGCATCGCGAAGCCCTGGATTTGATCTCCAGCATGACAGGCAGTGGAGATGATGACGATGGCAGTGATGACAATGACATGTCTGTGTGAGTTTCTAGGGCTGTTGCAAAGGAGAACCACATGCTGGATGCTGAGTACAGAAATTCATTGTCTCAAATTATGAGGCCCGAGGAGTTTAAAATGAAAGCGCAGGGCTGGTTTCTTCTGAGCCATGAGGGAGGATCAGTTCCATTCCTCTCTTAGCTTCTTGTAGCCTCAGATATTTCCTTATAGATGGCATTGTCCACATTGTCTTCCTCTATGCATGTCTCTCTCCCATGTCTGAATTTCTACTTCTTATGAGGACATTAGTCATACGTGATTAGGGCCCACCTAATACCCCAGCTTAACTTGATTACCTTTGTAAGAACCTATTTGAATGGGATCACATTCTGAGTTAGCAAGGGTTAGGACTCTACATTTTTTCTGGGAAGAAGGGATGCACAGTTAATCCCATAAGTTCTTTGAATTTGAAAATGTATTTCTTAACTTTGGTGCTTTTTTTGTAGACTATTCACCACTAATTCATGTTGAAGTTTTGTCATGATCTTTGCTTTCTGTAGAACACTGCTGTACCTGAAACTAGTAATAGCATGGTGCACAAAAGACCTTCCCCGGTGAAATGATTATTATAAACAATGGATTAAAAATATTCCTTTTTGTGAGCCATTAACATTTGCCTGTGCATTTGTGAATCTATGAAAAAGCAGAGACATCTCTTCCCAGATTTATTTGGTAATATTATACCTATTAGTATTTCACGAGAGGTTGTTGTTCCATGGAAGATACCATAGGGAACACTAAAGAGAAAACACATGTTCTGTGGCACCATAGGTATCTTTAGGGTCAAAAGTTGATCATTTAGGTGAATTAAAGTTGGAGGGACTAATGCATTTCAGCAGTGTCCAGTTGGGACATATGTATCCACACTTTGATACGTTGGTGTCAGTGATGGCAAGCCTTTCTGAGCTTTCGACGATACAAATAGCCCGCAGCAGCACAGGTTCACCACCACTGTTCAGTGTCAGAGCAGCAGTAAGTTATATGTATGAAATTATTTGAATGTTAGTCGTGAATTTTGTGTGGATATTAACACATTATCTTGCTCTGCTTTTGTGGGTAGCTGTATGTATTTTATTTTATTTATTTATTTATTTTATTTATTTATTTTTGGTACTGGAGATCGAACTCGGGTCCTTGTGCTTGCAAGGCAGGCAAAATCCCCAGCTAAATCCCCAGCCCAGCTGTATGTATTTTAAAATGGGTGATCAATAACATAATAAACTAGTATGGAAAAAATGGAATCTGTTGTAAGAGAAATAATTTGTAAAATAAAATAGGGAAACCTGTGCATCAGAGAACCCAATGATATTCTTCCAATTTTTGAAGTCAGTGCCATGCATCTCTTCAACTTGATTCCATTGACACTTTTTAGTGCCATTTAATGACATTAATCTGCCTGTTGAGTACAATTAATGTCTCTTTTTTTCAGTGCTCTAAGATTATATATAAACTTTATATATTCCATAGTAGAATCCTTGGCATTAATCTGCCTGTTGAGTACAATTAATGTCTCTTTTTTTCAGTGCTCTAAGATTATATATAAACTTTATATATTCCATAGTAGAATCCTTGGCATTTTACTGAATTTTACTTTTGCCCACTTTTCTTAAACCTTAATATTGTTCCCAAGAGAGGGAGTTTCTGCTTTATACACAGAACTTATTCTCCTAATTCCCCTTCCTCTCATCAAAGTGCTGTTGACCAAACCAGAAGTTTAGATCAAGAATCATTTCTGTTCTTATGGATTCAGAAATATAATGTGCAGATATCTTTGAGGAAAGAAGTGGATATAATTTTTTACTTTTAATGTTTTAAACATTCAGACTTGTTAGAAGTTAGAGCCTCTAGTTGAGCTCTTTTAATTAAAAATCCATAAAAGATAATCAGTGAAGATTTTATTGAATAAAGATGCCATTCAGTGGCTTCTCATGGAATATTTTTGTATGTATTCTTTTAGAAAATACCATAGTAGTGATATAAAACACATATTTACCTGTCCTTATATTGATTTTATTAAAAGGTTTTTTATTATAATATTTCTCAAATAAAGCACTATTTTGTATTGGCTGCTGTATAGCAGTTGAGACTTATAGAATCATAATTCAAACCACAGTTAGCCTGTATGTGTGAGAAGGTTATAAAAAAACATACTTTGCTTATTCTTTAAAAGTATTTCTTTTGAGTTGACCAACTTTTGAAAGATGACTTCAGCAGATATCTGTTCTTACATTATTAAAATATGGTTTTGTGAAGTCTGTCATATTTACATTTTGCTTATTTTACTGTCTATTTCTGAAGTAGAACAAAGGAACAATAGTATCTAGGGCTAATTTCCTACATTAATTATACTTTGATACCAGCATTCTCAAAGCATATATATAGATAGATAGATGAAACTGCAATTAAAAAGACTTATTATTATACATTATATCTATCAAGTTTATTTGTAAGTAATCTCTAGTTCCAGATTTTAATATTTATATAAGAATTACATAAATACTCTAGGGTTAGATATAAGAGGTAAGTAAAATTCAAGCAGAAAGCTCATCTATAAAAGTGTTTTAGTATAATCATTACTTAATAGAGCTACTTACTTGAATGACTGTATGAAAACCATAACCATTTGCTAATATTGAACATTCTACACTGAAGAGTTAGGAATCAGAAGGGGCAACATTTCGTGCTTTGATTATTTATTATTCCTAGTACAGGATATAGTGTATCATAAGTGATTAATGGGATTCAGGATTTTTATTAAGTCTTAGTTTTGGGCTTACTGGCATAATAAAATTTCTTTGTATTTGAGAATTAGACAAAATAGTTGGTATAAAAATCAATGATTGATGTAGCCAAAGTAATACTAAAAATATTAAAATTATGTCAATATTAAAAAGTAACTCAGTTTGTCCTATGATTGTAATGTAGAATCTGGGTTTGGAAGTAATAGTTTTCTAGAAATCCATTGTAAAACAAATTTATGGAGAAGAGCTTTGATTCCTTGGAAATAATCACAGCAAGCTATTGTAGAAGTCTTTAACATAATCATTTTAGTTTATGTGTTTAAAATTGTGTTTCTTCATGACTCTCCTAATATGATCTGCAAATTTCGTCTTTTAAGAAGGCATTAGTACATGTTTATGCTACATATTGACAACTTTATTGTGGCATTTGGTATATGTATACATGACACATTTTCATTCTTTCTGCGTCCCCTTTCCCCTCTCCCTCCAGTTCCCGGTTCCCTTCCCATTTGTAGTAATTCTGTTTCTTAGTTTCCTTTTATATGTCTTTCATTTTGCTCTTTATTTGAGCTTTGGGTTTCTCATAGAGGAGAAACCATACAGTATATAATTTTGTGTTTCTAATTTGTTTCACTTACGTTGTCAAGGTACATCCATTTTCCTACATATGACTCAAATTTAGTAAATTTCTAATTCATCCTTTAAAAATCCTGGTGAATCTTTTAATTCTTAAGGAATCCCATAAAATAATTACAGTACCTTTGACATCTAAAACAAGATATAAACATTGTTGTTGGGCTTCTAGTCATCTAAATTATTCATTTATTTCACAAATATAAAATTAGAGCCTTTATAGTTCAAAGGAGTGAAGTGATATTTAGATTGTTTATCACACTTAATATGAAAAAGTCTAGTTTAAATTAAAATCATTCTTTATACCTTAAATGGAGAGATATAAATACATTATATTTTGAAGCTGGAAAAACTGAAACACACAATTTAAATGCTTTCTCAAAATAACTTTTAACCTGGGGCACCAAGGTTTAGACTTTTTTGGAACACTTCATATTTCTTCTTACAGTGTTTTTTAGTCCAGAAGAACAAAACAGAACCTGGATTTTTCTGATTTTTACTTCTACTTCATATATTTAACCATAATACTTTTTAGCAACTTTGCTGCATCTGTGATTTTGCATATTTTCTAAGACTTTTTAGAGGAGACATTTATTCTGAATGCCTGTCTTCTGAATGCCTTTTTCACCAAGCACATTTTTAGCACATTTTCAAACTTTTTAATACACTAAGACTCAAGTACATCTTCATAACTACGAGAATTTTACTAGAAATATATGCACAGTAGAATGACAGAATACCCGTACTGCTGAAACAGACAGAAATGTGGTGGAATACATACTCTATATAGAGTATTATTTTACTATTCAGATTACAGGTAAATAGTCAAGAAAACAGTGATTTCTAGAAGTTAGTGTTAGGGAGGCAGATAATGAAGAAGCTAAATTTTGCTTTGTGCTTCTTTAGGACAGGCACAGTGCTAGGCCTTCTACATATTTTAGCTGTTGTTTTCTTTTCCATATTTTACAAGAGAATAAATTAAGTAATTTTAAAAGTGTCTTAAGATTATACCACTAACAAGACAAACCTTATATGTTTATAGACTTATGTTTCTTCCAGCAAAAAAACTTATAGGTACAGGACTGGGATTTTAGCTCAGTGATTCTGCCACCTGCCTTGCAAGTGCAAGGTCCTGAGTATGATCCCGGGTAACCAAAACAACAACAACAACAACAACAACAACAACACACACACACACACACAAAACAACAACAACAACAAAATAAGTACAGTCATAGAAGTATGAATAACAACAGTTTTTTAAAAATTGAAATTCTCATGATAGAAAAACTCAAGAAATTACAAGTTTTACTTAGAGAAACAGTTCATAATTAATATAAATAGATCTCTTGAGGGCTAAGAATTTGGCCTTTGTAAGTTTGTTTATGGTTACATCTAATGAAAATTTACCTTATGTGCTATATATTTAGAAGTAATTGAGTATAATTTTTCAAGCTAAGTGTTGGGACAACAAAGACATTTTCAGACATTCTATTATGATTTATTTAAGATTGTAATAGTAGTCCTATTTCTCCTCTGTCAGTTCTTCGTGTACAACTTCTCAAGATGAAATTTGGCTACTTTTCATATAGATCTAGGTTCACTTTCTTCCTTTTGTGTAATTGTTTTTGCTTTGTTGCGTATTTATCCTGAATACATGGCCTGGAGGATTGGTCTCACTCTGATTAATAGCCTTACATTTTTATGAAAGAGTCACCCTTTATGTATGGATATATCCTTGTGTTGGTGAAAAGAGATAAATTAGATATCATAAAATAGGCTTATCAATATTTGTATGCATAGAAATTAACAAAAGAGAAAGGAATGAAACAGATAGCAAAATTTTGAAATTGTATAAGCAGGTTTTTAAAAAATACAGTGAGTAGGTTGAATTTATCAAGCATACCTGTTCTGTGACTTGAGGAATTCTTTCCTTTCTGTTGACTGCATAAATGTTACAGGTGCATTCATGTTTACATACTATTTTTTTTCAAATTTCTCATTTAGATGAGTAACTTTTTATTTGAAATGTTATACCAATACTATGCTTTCTTCAAAGTTGTATACTTGCTTTTTTTGTGTTCTATAGAGCCAAGAAAATGATGAGCTAAGAGAAGCCCATGAAAAACGCAAAGAAAGACTACAGATGTTACAGACCAACTACAGAGCAGTAAAAGAGCAATTAAAACAGTGGGAAGAAGGCAGTGGCATGTGAGTTACAAAGCTCATAAAGACATTTCCCTAAATATTCAATGGAACGGAGTAACATTATATAGGTGTTTTAATGGCTTTTGTTTAGTTTTAAAGAAATTATTTGCTAGTCATATTTTTACTATGAATTTTAAAATGGTGAACATAACAAATGAAAACAGCAAAATATGCTAGCCATAACTATAGATTTTACTATGATTTGCAGATGTCATTAACAGTGAGTGTGAATTGTACACATTTTCATTCTCAATAGAATAGCTTAATAAAAGTATATTTTTTAAAGAAAAATTAGCTGATACACTCTGATTGAAAAGCTATTTTTAAATAAATAAAATACTGGTGTTTAAAATGTTTATGACTGAAAAAGTATGTATATTTTAACTGAAAAACAAGAGAAAAATAAAATTCACATATATAGTTAAAAGTCTTAAAACTATTTCAACCTAGCATGCGATTTGAAGGCCTTTACTATCCCATCAGTTTGTTCCCAGCTTCTCTGCATGAATTGCAGTCTCAGCTCAGTTGCTCTGAACAGGTGTTTAGATCTCCGTTAGTCGTAAGTGGCTCCCTTGTTAACAGTATCAACAAAGGGCAAAGGACTGGATGAGTACAGAAAACCTACTGCACTCTCATCTTTCAGGATGGATCCTTAGGGCAATATTGATTACACACATTGGTCTGTTCTGTAGAGAAATACTGTTTCAAGGTGGGCCAGTACAGCACTTTTAAAAAATAAAAATGAGGAGTTTGTTTTATGTACAGAAAAAAAGTGTAAGTGTGAAGGGCACTGGCATCACTTAGAGATACAGGTAATTGTCACATAATTTGTTTTCCTTTGATAAACAGGAAGTACTACATATTGTATGTCAGTAAAGCAGTGATAAAACAGCTTGTCTTAGCCATAGCTTCTGCTCTCTTAACTTTACAGTAATCATTGCAAAAGTGAAATGTACTTTCAGACGTCATTCACTAGTAATAGTGTGCTCTGAGGGTAGAGCCTCTGTACCACCTTCAGACTGGATGGCAGTTAGATAATTGCTTCTAGTCTTTTTTTGGAGAATGTTATAATTCTATAATCTGTGTTTTATTACTGCCGTTCTAGGTGGAATGAGAGAAACCTAACAATTTCATGTGTCTGCTTAAAAGTTTGTTTTCTGTGGTAACATTTTATCTTTAGAAATTATGGTATAGAATTTTAATTTTTGTATGCTTAGGTTTTGAGCAGTTCAGCTACTAATTAGTGAGCTTGAATTAAAAATGGGACAAAATTTGGTGCATAGATATTTTTGAATTTTAAGGAATGGACAAATCAGGAATAAAACAACTCCATTTTAAAAATAGGACTGATATCAGAAAAATACAGAGAGCAGATCCTCAACAACTTCAACAAGAAGACTCTGATGCTGTATGGAACGAACTGGCTTATTTCAAGAGGGAGAACCAGGAGCTAATGATTCAAAAGTGAGTTTAACAAGGGCTTAAATACGCATTTGGGATAAATTCTTGTGGCTTAAAGGCCATTAGAAAAATACCTTATGAAACTATAAAGATAAAATAATCTTTTTGGGGCGCAGTAAAAGTAATACCAATCAAAAAGACTAACACCCTTTCTCTCCCTCTCCTTTGCTCCTCTCTTCTCTCCTCTCTCTCTTCATATATA